ACATGTATATGATTCATTGCATCTGATGGAAATAAGGTTTTTTTTATAAATATAACAATTAAATAGAGTTATTTTTTTATAATACTAGAACTACGATATATTTGTTTTGTTAATCATTGAATTTCAGTATATTATTACAAAATATTTATAAATTGATTATATTGCGCCATATTTGATAGGTAATTTCGTTTATTTTTAAATGTTGCAATGTAAAGCGATTTCAAAGTCAAATGAAGTTATTTTATAATTGGACTTATGTCTATGAAATCAAACATGATATAATACGACATCATAAAATAAATAAAAATCTTAATAACTTCTGTTCTAAAACTAAATGATAGTAAATGTCTATTATTCGTCGATCGAATTTCAAAAGTTTTAATATTATTGTGGATATAGAAACTGTTTACAAACAAATAAATGTTTAATGACTTTCGTGAATTATATTTGAGACAATTAATAATCGTGTAATGGACTTCTCAACTGGTTGGGTTATAATTTTTATTTAAGCATTTTGTGTAATAGAACCCTAATGACTCAGTTATAATAAGACATCAAGAATGTATAGATAATGGTAGCATCGATCATATTCACAGTCCTTACATTTACATTAAAATTAGTTAGTAATCTTACCAATTGTGTTCTAGGTATCGGAATATTATTTTTTTATCTGTAGTATAGTTAAAAAGGTAATACACATTTTTAAGAGGGCAAAAATATTGCTAAAAATGTTTAAGTAGAACTATTATACGCGTTCCATTATATATCATTAGACGGTAAGGAAACTGGAAATCGCGTCTGAATTAGCCCCTTATTGACTAGGTTTAACTGTTACACACTGCTCCACCCGCGAGAAAAAGGTGAATTGAAATACAATATCTTCGCATAGGAGGTAAAATTCAATATTTTCGCTTAGAAAAACTAACAATACATTATACTAATAATAATATAATTCGTCAAGTCAGTATCTAAATCTACATTTACCTTTAATACGCTCAAAAACATAATCCGTCTTCTGTTGCAGATGAGTAATAAAAAAAAACTTCGACACATTATAGGTATTGTTCTTATTCCAAACACATAAAAGTCACTGTTAAGTTCTGTTAATTATACACAAAGCACAAGTGACAATAACTCTTTTAACAATAAAAAATGTATAAAAACTGTTATATTATGTGATGAAATTGGAAAAGACTTGGGCCAATTATTACATAACCAGTTGGGAGATAATAATATAATTAATTATTGTATGCTCGGTATTGAATTGCATCAACTAATGCAAAAAGTGTTTACTTTAAATATTGACGAGGGTACAAACTTAGTAATTTTAATTGGAAACAGAGGTAATGTAAATAAAAGAGAATTATGTAACTACTTCAATACCTTAAGCTCCTTGAATTTAAATAAAATTATTATGTTTACATTACCTTATAGCAACAGTTTGCCACAGGAGGAAAATAATATTAGATATAAGTTTAATATGACATTAAATACTACAGCTAATTATAATAAAAAATACATGTAATTGACATAAACAAATTAATCTTTAATTTATATTTGACAAAAGATAAATATTATCTTTCTTTCTATTTTAAGAGACAAATAGCATCCTCGCTAGTATTTTATTTTAAAAACTTAGCCAATAATTTGGCTATCTCTACTGCTTTTATTGAGCAGAATGATATTGACTTAAACAAACAGACTTTGGAATATGTTCCAAAACTAAATTTTGAGAATTTAAATAATTTAAATTGTTTAATAAGACAATAGAGAAAATCTCTAGCAATGAGATGACCAAGGAAAAGTCTACCTATTTAACTATCGTTCACCAAAATATACAAGGCTTTTCTGGAAAAGATCTAGAATTAGAAATGTGTTTAAATAGTATGAATATTGATATAATATGTATTACAGAGCACTGGCTCAAAAATTATGAATTAATTACGGGTTTTAAAAATTATAAAATTATAAGTTCATTCTGTAGGATAAATGCCATACGAGGGGGTTCTCTAATAATAATAAGTAATTATTTAAAATATAAAGAACGTAAAGATATAGTATCCCTCTCAATTGAGCGACATATTGAATTGTCATGTGTGGAACTTGAACAATATATTATTATATGTGTATACATATATACCACCTGATGGGGACTACTGTCAATTTGAAGCTGCTATGGAGGATGCATTTAAATTAATATGCAAAGTCGATAAGAAAGTAATGATATGTGGTGATTTTAATATAGATATTTTAATAAAATGTGCTAAATCAAGTAGATTTTTGAACTTGTTTAAATGTTTTAATTTAGAAAATATTTTTAATGAACCTACCCGCATTACACCCACATCCGCTACTTGCTTAGATAATATTTTTTGTAAATGTAAGGTGTTCAAAAAATCGATAATAAATTGTATTCAATCTGACCATAGCGGAATTCTAGCAACTTTCGAGCACCATCATGTTTCTCCTAAATGCAATATAATTTGTAGACCTATTACCAAAAGTAATTTAGAAAAATTTAAAAACAGTGTTTCTGCAAATCAGACTCAGTTGACAACTAGTAATTTGGAAAATATAAATGATGTTTATAATAATTTCTTTAACTTGATAAAGGGAGAATTTGATAAAACATTTAAACTCAAAACAATTAACTTTACTAACCAAAAAAAGAAATTTAGTGATTGGGCTACACCTGGCATCTACAAAAGTCGAAATAGGCTGTATGATTTGTATGAGCTAAAGTGTACCTCGACCGATCCAAAGTTTATTGAATATGTCAGAAATTATTCGAAAATTTTTAGGAAAGTATGTGTTTCAGCAAAAGCAAAATATATATCTGAAAAAATTTACAATTCAGAAAATAAAATAAAATCAACCTGGACTATCATAAATCAAGAAACGGGTAAAAATAAAAGTAATATACGCACATACTCATTAGAGGTTGACAATAAAATTATTAAAACAGATGAAGCGGTTGCCGAGACATTTGAGAAATTCTTTTCTAAGACACCAATAGAAATCACAAGAAATCTTAGTTCATGTTCTAAACTTGCGGTTACGCATCTAGAGTCAGTTGTTGATAAGTGCAATACTGAATTTTATTTTAGACACGTTAACGTCTGCTCAATTATTAAAACATTTAATTGTATTAATGTCAAAAAAACCGAAGATCTTTGGGGCGTTTCAACTTATGTTATCAAATCTATAATCCCAGCTATAGCACCTCAATTAACTTTTATTTTTAATAAGTGCATTGATGAAGGAACTTTTCCTGATTTAATGAAATATGGTAAAATAATCCCACTTTTCAAGGCAGGCGACAAGTCTGATCCCAGTAATTTCAGACCAATTTCTATTCTACCAGCGTTAAGTAAAGTATTTGAGAAAATGATTTACAATCAACTGCTTGCACACTTTTCATTAAATAAATTACTTCACCAAAATCAGTTTGGCTTTAGCAGAGGTAAATGTACAACAGACGCTGGAATTGCACTTCTGAGGCATATCTATGATGCTTGGGAGAATAAACAAGATGCTATTGGCATTTTTTGTGATCTATCAAAAGCATTCGACTGCGTTAGTCATGAAACACTGTTGGGGAAATTAGAACATTATGGTGTGACGAAAAATTCACTTCATCTAATAAGATCATATCTTTCTGCTAGAATACAAAAGGTAGTAATCAATGAAGCGAAATCTGCAGGGGCACCAGTTACTATGGGCGTACCTCAGGGATCGATATTAGGACCATTGCTTTTTCTAATTTATATAAATGATCTTCCTCACTTTACGAAGAATTTGTGCGAGACAGTATTATTTGCAGATGACACCTCTTTACTGTTTAAAGTTGAGAGGGGTAAAGATTGTTTTGACGATGTAAATAATGCTCTCGACAATGTTCTACAGTGGTTTGATAATAATAATTTAAAGCTCAATTCAAATAAAACGAAATGCATAAAGTTTGCATTACCTAATGTGAGGCATGTCAGTACACTTATAAATGTAAATAGTGAAAAAGTTGAGTTAGTAGAATCGACAAAGTTCCTTGGTATTACACTAGATTCCCGACTGCAATGGGATCCTCATATTGATAGCTTGTCAAGTAGACTGAGTTCTGCAGCTTTTGCTGTTAAGAAAATTAGACTCTTGACAAATGTTGAAACGGCAAGATTGGTATATTTTAGTTATTTTCATAGTGTAATGACGTATGGTATATTGTTATGGGGTTCTGCGGCTAGCATTCAGGATGTTTTTATTTTACAAAAGAGAGCTGTCCGTGCTATATATAATTTACGGTCTAGGGAATCTCTCAGAGAACTATTTAAAGAAATAAATATTCTGACTGTTGCCTCTCAATACATCTATGAGAATATTATGTACACAAGAAAACATTACGATTCCTTCACAAAAAAAAGTAGTGTTCATAATCTTAACACAAGAAATAAAGATAAACTTGCCGTTCCAAGCTTCAGACTTCAAAAAACCAGAGGATCATTTCTGGGTAAATGTATTGCTATGTTCAATAAAGTTCCACAAAATGTAATTGACCTACCCATAAATAAATTTCAAATTCATGTAAAGAATATACTTATGAGTAAAGGCTATTATAAAGTTGATGATTACTTTAAGGATCGCAATGCATGGAATTAATAGCCCTCACTTTGTTCTATAAAGACTAATTGAAGACATGAGTGGATGAAGGTGATATGTCACAAAATTCTAATTTCGAGAAAATGGAGTTCAAAGTTATGCATGAACAATTTAGGATATTTCAAAATGCTTTAAGATTTTTCATCTAAAAAAGGAGTCTGGCGGTGCCAACCGTTTCATATTTTAATATTAGGAGGGAAATTAAAGAATATAAAATGTATTTTAGTACTTTATTTAAAAAAAAACTGAACATAACTCCTTCTTCCGCAAAGAAAATTTTAATAAATTCGAGAAAATGAAGTCTAAAGGAGACAAGTTACATAAATACTTAGAAAAAAAACAAAAAACGATTATTCTTCTCGAAGAATGGACTCATAATAATACCGATATTCCGGTTTAACAAATTTTAATTGATCCTTAATATTAGCTTTTTTTTCAATCGAGACAGTACCATATTTTCCATCCACGCATGACACCTCAAAATTCGGATCAACTTGGCCTCTTTTTTTAAAAATGTCAACCTTCTGGAATGGTATCATTTCGTCGTATGATTCTTTGTATAAATATGAACCGTATTCATCAACTCTGATCCATTTCACGCCATCTCTAAAGCTGTTTTTACCATTATTTGTATTTTTTTTCCTGTTAATCAGATTTAAATTCTCTTGCAAATCGTTTATTTTTCTGAAATGGTCCGTCATATCAATAACAATATTGTTTCGTGAAGCTTTGGTAATAATGCTTCGATATTGTTCAGGTGCATAGATTGTATCATTTTTCCGAATCACTTTTTCGATCCTCCCAAAATCTCGGTCCGAATCCAAATAAGAATGTCCCACTTCGGGAAATTTGTGGTCTATGATTTTAAAATATCCTTTTAAGATTATGTATTGGTAAAGACATATTAAATTAAAATTTTTGTTCTGTCCGGCACATGAATCTGACCAAATAATCAAATGTTCTTTGCCTTGGCAACTTGCATCTACCTCCACGAACCTCAAGAGTGCACTTGCCACTTCGGAACTTCCACGGTCCGCTACATCTTCAGTCCATGTACAACATACAGCCTTTTCTTTAGATGTTCCATCTATGACGTGAATACCTAAATTATAGAACCAGATTTGTCTTAGATAGAATGCCTTGGATGTAGTCAATTTAGGCAAAGGCATTGTTTGCTGTAGATCTACTGTAATGTAGAGGACATCCTCACCTGATGTAGGTTTTTTTCCATCGACTTGCATTGCTTCTACAGCTGCATAGTAGTTGGCTTTATGTTCTTCATTTGAGTCCCCAGCATCGCAAGTTGCACAAGTATCACTCTTTGGGTAACCAAAAGATAAATTAAATTCTGTAACAAAAATTTTGCTGTAGGTAGACTTTTTAATGTTGTATTTCTCAGGTAAATTTTCTATATCACACATTTCCATATATAGGCTATGCATCTTGGTCACGTTTAAAAGAGGGGAAAGATATAACTTGTGCATATTTTTACTACGAGAGTAATGGGACTGTTCGGCGGGAAAGCTCGATATATGTGCTTTAATACGGTTCACAACGTCTTCATCCATTTTGTAAGGACGACTCTGGTGCTTCCCTCTACAGTCCGGTTTTGGAGCAGAAATATCGCTTTTAATAGCCATTATTACTAGATCTACTTTTTTCCGACTTATTTGGTATAACCGACACAATCCCAACTTGCAAACTTGCTTTGTAACCCCTGCAAATTTAACAAAATACTTGTACGACGCCGATTTATGGGTTTTGGCATTACAGCGTTGTCTTTCAACAGGCTTACTTACAATGCTGTTAAAAAGTAAAGCATTCTTGCTATTCACATCTAAGGAGTAATAACTTTCTAAAATAGACTGCCTTTCATCTATTGCAAAATGAGTGGAGCACTGATGCCTACATTTTTCGTGACACAAAATTCCTTCTTGTATAGATTTTTTTGGAATGACTTTATTTTTATACGATATATACTCTTCTCCTTTCTCTCTTGCAAGGGCTGCAGCTTTTTTCTTCCAAGTCCTTTCATTTCTAGATCGCTTTTTTGATTTGTTGTCTCTAGGCGGAAATATTTTTCGTTTTCTAGGTATATCACGTTCTTGAGATTCTCCATTTTCCTGGTTCTCACTGGTAGATGGAGCAATGTCAAAGTCATGTTCATTAGCACTCTCAGCATTTTCTTGTGATGTAACAGAATTTTCCTGAATTCTACTGGTAGGTGGATGAGCAACTACGAGGTCTTTTGCAGAAACTCTGACATCGATCTCACTAGAGCTTTGAGAAGTGGACGAGTTTGTTGAACTTTCCGTTATGAAGACATCATCACTTCCCGAAGAAAAATCTTCATAATTTTCATCAGAAAAAGTTGCATTCTCAAGAATAGTGTAGATTTTTTTATTTCGCAAAGGAAGTTTGTATGTATTAATTTGCTCAAATTGTGAATCTTCTATTATATCTGGATCTATGACTGGATGTATTCCCCTGGATGTATGTGGTTCATTATTTCTGGAACTTATATAATCATGATTGACAGAAAGTTGAAAAATCGAGGGTTCAAGGTCTTGTTCATGCTCAATGCTTTCACACTCTTGCTGAGACACTAACTCCGTGTTGCATTTATCTAGAAGCAAAAACGTGCCCATAAGCAAAGAAAAAAGTATGCATGCAAAACAAAAAAAAAATGTGCAGAAAGAATATTTGACAAATAAATATTTTATTCATCTGTCTTTACATTCAGTGCAAAAGTACATAACAAAGACAAGCTCATGCCAAACCACCCTTCACACAAAGCCTTTTGTAAAAATCTTGCGTCCATTACAACATCACATATATTAATTTTATACCTATGCACATATGATTAATTTTATAACATTCACAAACAAACATTCAAGAACATAACGCACAAAAATTAAATAATATAATATAATAATATATACGTAAATATAATAAATTTTAAATAAATATCAACTTTACGAGATAATATTATTGTGACAAGTCAAGAAATAATACAAATTTAAAAAATAAAGTTTAAAAAGACTCACCTTGACGATCATTTTTTAGGTTATCATTTTCGTAAACAATCTTCACAGCCGATTCATCCAAATTACGGCTAATAGCAGCTTCCACTAATTGCTTTACTCTTAATTTAGCTCCTGCCATTGTTTTTGTGACTTATTTATGTCAATTTAACAACACAATAATTAATCTATAACGACAACAATGGTGGCACACGCGTCTGATTGTCAAAAGAGCGCGAATTCGCGAATGAACGGAACGGAATGGTGAGGCCGGTTTATGAATGAAAGTGACATGTGCAGCACATAACACCTTCATCCATTGAATGTGCGCTACCATGTCAACATAGCTCCTTCATCCATTGTAGAAAAGTAAACTTTTAACTTTTTTGGCTTTTATAAAAATGTTAAGTGCACATAGTACATTCATCCAATATTAATACAAAAAAATGGTGTACATGACACCTTCATCAAGTAGTGAACTTCTAAAATAGCCAGAAACACGGTTGTTTTAAGGTTTAAAATTGTTTGTATGCACATAACACCATCATTCATCCATAGAACAGCGAAAATCCAAAAATGCGACATATCACCTTCATCCACTCATGTCTTCAATTATATGTTCAACTTATGTCCTACAGACTTTGAAAGTTGTATTTACTATTGTGATAAATTGATAATACATATTATTTTGGTAATGACATGATTTATGTAAATGTCATTACTTATGATAAAAAGCTGATAAGTTTCTTTCGCTTGTTCTTCTTGTCAGCTAAAAGACGTCCTGAACAAGTGGTAGGGGAAAAAAGTTTTTTTGGACGATTCAAAAGTGCTTGTAATAGCCTACTTGAATAAAGATATTTTCATTTCATTTCGTTTCGTTTCGTTTCGTTCCGTTCCGTTCCGTTCCGTTCCGTTCCGTTCCGTTCCGTTCCGTTCCGTTCCGTTCCGTTCCGTTCCGTTCCGTTTCGTTTCGTTTCATTTCACTCACTCACTCGAAAATTGAATCTGTGTTCTCGGAGAAACCAATCGATTGTGGAGATCGTTAAAAACGTTTGCATCGTTTGTTATGCTCAGAGCATATCAGATATATAGGTGTCATTATACGAGGTAATCGAACCGTATCGATCAGGGTATTAACTGCGGCAGTGCAGCAATGTAAGTGCTAATAAACGACATGTTACAACTTGAGATTATTCTTTATGTCTCCTTATGTAGATCAACAGTAACATACAATGAACTTTTAGACATCCTGTTAGTATATTGTTTATTTTTTCTTTTTAATAACAGTCACGACTTGTGCATTTTGCCAATGTAAAATAAAAAAATACGAAACGAGGAAACGAATAGAAAGGAAAAAGAAAAATCGGAGAAAGAAGGATGGGATCAGGAATGTGTCTTTTAATACTGTAACGGTGTGCCATGCCACCGTTTGTTTTCCTAGGTTTCAGTATGCAAACTTTTTGCTTTTGAAATTCAATATCATTTCATTTTACTATTCGTCTTTCGTAATTTAAAATTTTGACTAATCAATTTTACTCTTTATGGATGTCAGTTCGTAAGAAATTCTCCTATACACAAGATGAAATTATAATATAATACAATATTATTGGTATAAATTTTACTATGTAATTTTAATAATTCATATATTATGGTGATACAATAATATAACATATTTACTAAATTAAAACTGTATTTTGTACGATCCAAAAGTGTAACAAGAAGCCCGACAAGGGTTTTTTTATTATTACCCTTATTTCATTAATAAATTATACTCAAGCTGATCAGCCTATTTAATTGACGAAGCACCGAACTCGTAACACTGGCGCCGCAATGTGGTTGAAAAATAGGCTGACTACTGCAATAGAAGACAATAGTGCACACTTTACGACCAACACCACAAACACATTTACTCACATAATCAGACAATAGACGTTCAGCGTTACTTTGGCTGGTCACAAATGTGATCGGTTCTGATGCCATTGTATCGAGGAACATACAAACACGTACTCAACATAGTGTTATAAAACAGGAAAATTTTAATAGTAAATAATTTAATTTAGATTCCGTATATAAAAAGGTACGTAAGCTATTTTTATTTTTTTCAAAAATTTTATAAGATTTCTTTTTGACGAATAATATTATTTTTAATATTTAAAAAATAGAATATTGTAATTTATTTTCCGTTTACGATTTGACATTCATTTCTTTTATAATAATCAATTTTAATCATGGATATATCATACTTGAATAAACCAGAAATTATTTATGAACTGAAATTACGAAACGCGAATTTTGAATCCACCCAAACGGCTCAAGAATTGCGTGAAATTTTATTACCAATGATAGGAGACCTTGAGAAATATTCTTGGATTACTTATTTATTTATTGTTAGTACCCTGTAAATACTCATAACGTTTTCATTTAATTATTTGGCTACTCATACTTATTGTTATTTTTATTATCTTCATAATTTATTATTTTCATCTAGTGCGGTTGACAACACTATAAATAAGCCAATGTCAAAATACCAATTTAGTGCGGATGACAACACTATAAACAAGCCAATGTCAAATATCAATTTTAAAGTGCGGTTGATAACACTATAAATAAGCCAATATCAAAATATTTCTTTGTGTACTTATGTATACTTATTTACTTACTATCTAACACTACATAATGTATTGTTATACCTAATGCATTACCTACTTTATTTATTACTACGATTGTATATTATTCTACACTCTACATTTAGACACTTACACAACACACTCATCTACACTCAACAACACTACACAATTCACCTAAAGTCAGCGGGTGGTGACTGACATTATTTTAAAGAAGCCTACACTATTTTCTAGGTCGATTTATTAGAGATAATCTTTCTTAAATACAAGTTACCTCTAATTGCTAGGAATTTTTATCTTAATAAGATAAAGATTGTTTGAATGATGTTTGAATGATGAAGTAAGAACATTTTATGAAAGGGAAATCGCCTAATGTAATTTATCCACTATATATACCATCCCCATTTCTAAATTAAATCATGATAGCATTAATTAATCACATTTTATATAAAATATTTTAAGCTTGAGTAATCCAAGAATATCTAAAAAAAAATCTTTCAGATTTTTTTTTAACCCCGGCCCCCCCGGTATTGTAACGGTGTGCCATGCCACCGTTTGTTTTCCTAGGTTTCAGTATGCAAACTTTTTGCTTTTGAAATTCAACATCATTTCATTTTACTATTCGTCTTTCGTAATTTAAAATTTTGACTAATCAATTTTACTCTTTATGGATGTCAGTTCGTAAGAAATTCTCCTATACACAAGATGAAATTATAATATAATACAATATTATTGGTATAAATTTTACTATGTAATTTTAATAATTCATATATTATGGTGATACAATAATATAACATATTTACTAAATTAAAACTGTATTTTGTACGATCCAAAAGTGTAACAAGAAGCCCGACAAGGGTTTTTTTATTATTACCCTTATTTCATTAATAAATTATACTCAAGCTGATCAGCCTATTTAATTGACGAAGCACCGAACCCGTAACAATACTACATATAAATATTATTGTTTATAATTTTAAATAATTGATTATAAGAAATGATATGATACGTTTATATATTGCTTGGTCATTATGTAGGGGAAGATTGGGACCATTCGTACACTTTTTAGTCAATGATTTTTAAAATATTGATAATAAAAGATAAATTACTCAATTTCTCATTAAAACATAAAACATACTTTCTGCTCCTTATTTAAAAAGTTCAAAGTCGATATCTTGTAAAATAAATGAAAGGATTTAAATTTACTAAAAGCAAAATGAATGTCCGAATCTACCCCTATTACGGGGTACAATCGTACATGGGCAGGGGAACATTCAGACAATGTGGTAACTTCATATATATTAAGTAAAACAACAAATTGATTAAAATAATTGTTTTCATTGATCTTAAATTTTTCAACGATGTAATAAACTAAACGATATATAGGCTTAGAGTCTAACTATATTTTTACGAAAACGGTGCATCCATTCTATATCTGCGAAGCCAGTTTCATAACAATTTTGCAAACATTTATATTTCAAAACTTTGTCATAATCATTTGATAGTGGTCTGACTTCCAATATCGTGAGTCCGAAATATGTTTTTGAACTTTTTCAATTTATTAGTCTTTTCAGTAAAACTATTTGTTTTTGACTATTTAAAAACTCCTTTTACTGACGCAAAAAATATAATTTAATTAATATTGGGAACGTGTCTGCCTTTTCTTCTTAAAATTCCGATCATTTTTTTCTAAATTTTCTGAAATAATCATAAAAATCGTTAGCGGGGGTACATACATACGCGTACGAATGAGCCCTTGCTGGTAATGTACGAATGTGCCCCGAAGATAAAGAATAAAATTATTTTTTATAACACAAAACCCACGTAGAAAAATACACAAAATTGATATATTATTATTATCTTAATCATATTCACTTACGATTAAGCAATAATCCAATAAAATTTGATGTATCATTAAAGCACGGAAGATCCAAAAACATTAACAAAATATTTACTATGAGCATGCCAAAACACTTTGAGTTCTCTAGTTTTGCTCGCAGTGGCTGCATGTGTGGCTAATTATGTGGACAACTGGCATTCACCGGCGCCTATCCACTGACACGAAGCCCTAATAAATAGGCTTTTCTACAAGATGTAGTAGTGACTGTATGAAGGTTCCCCGTATACGAATGGTGCCAAACTTCCCCTAATAATGTAGCTATGTTAATCGGGAATGAAACACGAAGGGATGTTAGGTCTTGCCTGCGAGAGGATCTTTGGAATTTAGAACAGGAGAAAATCCCTAGGATCATTGATTATATGGATTTAAGCAAGATGAGAAGGTGCAGAAAGAGGTCCAAGTCTCATACGAGTAATCATAGAAGTTTCTAGTTTGCTTCATTAAAAAAAAAAACAAGGTTTAAAGGACATATTTATCTTTATATCGTAATATTGTGTCTATATGAGCATACAATTCATATAAGTGCAGCTCGGTGGCGTAGTGGATAAGCGCCGCGGCCCGCGATCGTAGTCGTTAAGCAACTTTCGCAAGGGTCGGTCACAGGATGGGTGACCAAAA